GGCCACCTGCAGCTCATCAGTTGCCTGGTGCATCCCAGAGGCCGCGCTGCCCCTTTATATGACCCTAAGGATGGGCGCTTCCCCACTGGGGATGCCTTCCTTTCCTCAGAAAGACTAAGCCGTCTGGAGAGGTTGGGCATGGTTAAGGACACAGTGACCCTGCCAGAGCTGCTGGAGCGGGCAAAGACAGTCCAGCTTCTATGGACCGAGGACCATGCCCAGGGCTGCCAGAGGGCTGCCTGCATCCTTGAGCTGCTTCAGGATGCAGTGGAGGAAAGGGTGAACAATACCATGCAGGCAGCTTTCCAGACTGTGCCCTTCCTCCCTGGTACACTGCCCACTGGCGAACATGTGCTGTTGCCAGCTGCCCAGCTCTACCATCACACCTGTGCTCCACTAGTGGGACTCATCCGCCCTATCTTGGCTCCTGAAGTGCTGGGAGAAAAATTCAGCCTCCCCAAGGATGTTGCATCCTTCTTGGGGCTGGACCGGCAGCTACCAGCAGCTACAGTCCTTGAGCAGCTGCAGGCACTGAGCTGTAGCTCCAACGCTCTCCCTTTGGAGCACCTGCAGAACAGCGCCAACTGCTGCTACAGCTACCTGCACATGTTGCTCCAGAGAGATCACTCCAGCTGGGATGAGGTGGCTTCTGCAGTGACCCAAGGGGAGCCCTTCATCTTGGTGGACTCCCACTTTGTGCCAGTCATGGCTGTGGCTGAGAAGTTGTCATTTGAGGCTGTCCCATATCTTCACCAGCTCCCAGAGCAGTACCGGCCCTACAGCCAACTCTGGAAGTGTGTGGGGCTGCGCCACACGTTCACCTGGGATGATTATGCCCAAGCGCTCTGCATGCTGGCAGAGATGCATGCTGGAGAGCCGCTGCCTACCGCGGAGCTGGCTCTGGCCTTGCGGCTGGTGTCTTGTGGCTTGATGGCAGATGACAAAAAGCCAGATGCCTATCAGACCCAGCAACTCTTTCTACCTGACCAGGAGGGCATTTTGCGTCCACGGGACAAGCTCCACTTCAATGATACGCCATGGATGCCAGTGGGCAGAGATGTCCTGCTGTGCCATGAGAAGCTGTCCCGAGCCACAGCCCTGCACTGTGGGGTGCCTACCACACGCCACCAGGCACTGGAGAGGAGCCGACTGCTCACTGCAGGTCTGAGCTGCTGGATGCAGCCATTTGGTGCCCATGAAGACTTGACTACACGGCTGAAGAACATCTTGGGTGAGTACAGAGCATGTACTCGTGATATAGTGACAGAGTTGCTCCAGAATGCGGACGATGCTGGTGCGGGGCTTGTGCACTTTGTGTGGGACCGCCGGCAGCACCCAGTGCGTGCCACTTTCAGTGAGGACTGGAACATCCTGCAGGGCCCTGCCCTCTGCATCTACAATGACAGCCCCTTCCAGCAGCAGGACATTGAAGGCATTCAATGTCTGGGGGTGGGTGGCAAGCAAGACCGGCAGGATGTCACAGGCAAATATGGCCTTGGCTTCAGCACTGTCTTCCACTTCACTGACTGCCCAGCCTTCCTTACTGGAGACAGTGCCCTGTGTGTCTTTGATCCCCAACTCTCCTACGTGCCTGGAGCCACAGTTGAGAGACCTGGTGGGATGTTCGCTGTCAACCATGAGTTCAAGAGGAACTTTCCAGACATTTATGACACCTTCCTACCCTCCCACTTTGACCTCAACAAGGGTGTCCTCTTCCGGCTGCCCCTCCGCACTGCAGCTGGGGCTACCAGTTCCAAGGTGTCTAACATGGTCGTGCGGGACCAAGACCTCATGGACATAGAGAAACTCCTGGCTGAGGAAGGTGAGGACTTTGTGCTCTTCCTCCGGCACCTCCACACTGTGGTCTTCTCTGAGATCCCCCCAGATGGGGAGCAGGTGTTGGAGAAGCTGCGGGTGGCCACAGAGCTGACAGATGGTGATGCAAAGCTGAGACAGGGTTTTCAAGAGAGATTGAGCCAGGCCATGGATGGGACCAGCCCCACCTCTGTCTCTTATATCATGACAGTTGAAAACAGCAAGACCAGGGCCAGGACCAAGTGGAGTGTGATCTCCCAAATTGGGGTGCAGGAGGGGGCTGAGGAGTCTCCAGTGCTTGGGCGGCTGCCCTATGGGGCTGTGGCTGCCTGCCTGAAGCCACGGGGCAAAGTCACGAGCAAAGCTTTCTGTACGCTCCCACTGCCGCTGACCACAGGGCTGCCTGTGCACATCAATGCCAACTTCTCTGTGAATGCAGCCAGACGCAATCTCCACGAGGACCCAGGCAGCAGAGAGACAGCCTGGAATGGCTTCTTGCTCCGGTGCTTGGTGGTTCCACTATACTGTGCCTTTCTCACCAGGCAGTGGAAAGTCCTGGGGCCTGAAGGGCTCCAGTTCAAGTCCCTGGAGGTCTGCCAGAAGCACCTGGACTCCCACTATCTCCAGTTCTTCCCTGCTGTGACAGACGTGGTATCTACCTTTCAGAACCTGGCAAGGGATGTCTATAGGCACCTCAGTCATGCACGCCTGCCCCTGGTGCCTGTGTACCACATGAAGTCCCCTGACAGCAGGGTGACAATCACCTGGGCATGTCCAGGTGGTGGGAATGTGCTAACAGAGCCATACTTCCTAGGCAAGAAGCTTGAGCCAGATCTCCAGGAGGTGCTGCAGCACCTGAACATGAACCTGGTGCCACCATTCACCCACCTGCGGCAGATGTATGAGGCATTCATTAAAGCTGATGTGAAGGCTGTTTCCTTTCAGCCAGCCTCTCTCCGGTGCTTCCTCAAGGACCTGGCACTCCGTGTGCCCTGCATGCTGGCTGAGACACCCCTGAGGAACCCAAAGAACTGCTGCATCCTCCTGAAATATTGCCTGCAGTCCCAGGAAGAACTGGAAGGACTGCCCTTGCTGGTCACACAAGATGGCTGCCTGAATGCCCTCAGCACCCATCACCCAGTCTTCCAAAGCTCCTTTGCCAGCCTCTTTCCCCGCCACTGCCACCGCTTTGCCCACGAGTTAATTCCTGCCTTGTCCCTGCCTTGTTTTGTGAAGGAGCTTGGCCTCCAGGATGCCATACCACTCATCCAGGAGGCACTGGGTCAGCTGAACTGGACCACAAAGGAGGAGTGGCTCAAGGAGCTGTGGAAGTTCTTCAGCACTGTGGTCTGCACAGAGGATGACATGAAGTCATTCATGGGTCAGCTCCACGATGTGGTGGTGCTGCCTGTTCAGAAGGGTGAGACAGGCTCAAAGCACCTACTGCCCCTATCCTCCCTCCCCAATGTTCTTTATGAGTGTTACACGGAGGTGGCCAAGGTGCTGCACAAATTGGGCATCCCTGTGCTCCAGCAGTCACTGCTGCCTCTTATCTTTGCCTACAAGTTCCTGAAGACAAGGACACTGCAGGTCACAAAGCCCAGGGATGTGGTAGCCCAGCTGGCGGACGCCAGAGCTAATCTCTGCTGGGGGGAGTTAAAAGAGGAAGATGTGACAATGCTGCTGTGCTTTGTGCAGGGAAAACTGGATTCGTCAGCACTGCAGCAGCTCCAGCTCCTGCCTCTCTTCCAGAATTATGTTGGGGACTACGTATCTGTGGCACCCTACCGCAAGGTGCTGTTGCTCAGCAGCTGCTTCCCAAAACTGCCCCCGGGTGCCCAAGACCTGTACAGACTGGATAAGGACATGTTGCTGCTCAGAGCAGACCACGTGCACCAGCAGCTGGCCAAGAACATGTCCTGGAAGCTCACAGATGACCAGCAGCTCTTCACGGATGTGGTGCTGCCCCGGCTGTCCCAGCTCACAGTGCAACAGCTTATGAAAGCTGTGCACTTGTTCTTTGCCCTGCAACCGACATGTGATGTTAAGTTCAAGGAAGATGTTGTGGCAGCTTTTCAGACTGTGGCCTTTATACTTGATGCCCATGGTGTGCCGCGCCTGGCCTCCTACTTCTACGACAACATGGCCTCCTTCCACACTCTGCGGCTCCAAGACCGCTTTGTGCCTGAGTCTTTCTTTGTGAACCTAAATTACAACTTGAAAGCTGCTAAGGACTTCCTGCTTCAGGCAGGTGTCCGCACCAGCCTCTCTGTGGAGGATTTTGTGGCACTGGCCCAGGAGATAGAGCATGAAGCCACTCAGGCTGGGTGCCACACTGAAGACCTGCTGGTGCGACAGCAGGAGATGCTCAAACAGCTTGGCACTGTGTTGGAAGATCCCTTGTCAGAGCATTTCCTGGAGCAAATTGCCTCGATCCGCTTCCTGCCTCCACTGGGCATCCCCCCAAATTTGATGAATCTCCACCCACCTTTTGCAGCCTGCACTAAGCCCGTGGCCCTGAAGGGCAGCGTTTACCACTGCCAAGATGTGGCTGAGCTCCTGTGGACATCAGCCACCATCCTGCCAGAGTCCTTTGAATACAAGCAGGACCGCCTGGAAGCCATGGGAGTCCTTGTAGAGATACCCACAGCCCTGGTGGTGGCCAACCTGGAGCAGGTGTGCAGGGCAACCTGCCAGACACCACAGCAGGTGAATACACGGGCCAGTGTGCTCCAGAAGGTGTACAAGTTCTTGCAGACCCATCTGGAGGAGGTGGATGCAGGGCGCCTCGCTGAGCTGCCTGTGGTGCTGGCCAAGTCAGGGGACATGGCAATGCCACGGAAAGTGGTGACATTACTCCCAGACGAGGCTGACTTTTACCCCTATCTCCTCATGCCTGACCCCCGTGTGGCTGTCTATGGAGAGCTCCTGCAGCACCTTGGGGTGGCCCTGCTTCCCACACTGACTCACTACAGCCATGTCCTGGCCCAAATCCACCAGGAGAGCCACATCAGTGGGACCCTCAATACTATCCAGAAGAAGACAGTCCTGCTGGCCACACGGCACTTCTTCCAGCTGCTGCGGGAGGCACCGGAGCCCCCTGATTTCTCCACTGTGGCCGAGCTGTACTTGCTGAGCACTGATGACTGCCTAGAGTCATCTCACAGGCTATACTTCAATGACTGTGTGTCCTCAAGTACCTCTAGGGCCTTGAGGAAAACCTTTGTGTTTATGGCTGAACTGCCGGGGACTGGGTGTAATGCCTGGTGGCTGCTGCAAATGCTACCGCAGCGCCTGCGGCCACGGGCACTCTCAGAGGTTTCAGAGCAGCAGCTGGAGGAAGGCAGTCTGCAGCCATGTCGCTACGGTTCTCAATGCCCTGGACAGAGGCGTCTGCAGACCCTCCTGGTATCACAATGGTTTAGGATGGGGCTGGAGGCCCTGCTCCAGTGGCAGAGCCACAGGGCTGTGATGAGAATGGAGGAGGTTGGTGGCTTTGCAGGGGAGCAGCTGAAAGTGCAGTGCTGTCAGGACATCCGCACTGTGCTGGTCCACTGTGGTGCAAAGGTGGAGGGCAGCTCCCAGCCACGGGTTACCCATGTGTGCCCGGCTGGTGGTGGCCAGCGGCTCCTCTACATCCGGCATGCAGAGCTCGTGCTGGACCGGCACCACCTGAGGGTCCTGGAGACGCTAGCACAGGAGATCAATATCATCCTGGGTAGACAGCTGGAGGCACCCACCTTGTCAGTGCTGCGTGAAATGCTGGTCTGCCAGGAGCCACGGGACGTGGCCTTTGTTCTGGAGGAGAATGATGTGGCACTGGTGGGTGCTGCACCAGAGCCAGAGGACGTCATGGCACCAGAGCTGAAGAGGCTGCAGGAGGAGGCTGTGGTAGAGGGGAAGCCATGGAAGAACTGGCACAGCCTAAAGCCAGAGGTGACTGATCATGAGGATCACAGCCTGGCAACTTCACGGCAGCTGTGTGCTGTCAAGCGACCAAAGGTGTTGCGGGACCTCTGCCTCCAGTACAACCCTGTGAGCGCTGCCCAGCACCACTGCTGGGGACAGAAAGGCCGTAGCTCCTCGTGCTGCAAAGAGGAGGCCATGGCCCTGACTCCATCCATTCCAGAGGCTGAGAGGTGGCTGCAGCAGGCAAAGAGTGACCTGCAGGCAGCCCACAATGACATCAGGTGCTGCTGCCCCAACTGGGTCCTCTTCAAGGTGCACCAGGCCCTGGAGAAGGCACTGGTGGCTGCTGCACTTTGCCATGATGATGCCTTTGAAGCCCCAGTGGCACTGGTGGGACTGGCCCAATGGCTGGAGGCAGTGGAGCCAAAGCTGAGGGGCCTGGCAGAGGAGGTGGAGTGGTTGCATGGCTGTGGCGTGGATGGCATGGCCACACAGTACCCAAGTTACCACCCCTCCCCCATGACACCCAACGAGGCCTTCCAAAGTGTGGATGAGGAGGAGGTACTGAAGCGGGTCCAAGGAGTGCTGGGGAGGCTGCAGGACCACGTGGGAAGAATGTGAGGATGTCCCCACAGAGGGGGCACTGGCAGCTCTGCCATGGGACCACCACGGACCCACCAGAGACCCACCACGGACCTGTCGTGGACTCACCATGGACTTGCCACAGACCTGCCACAGGCAGTTTGAGACTCTCCAGACCTGCAGCAGGGCTGGACTAGATAGGGGGCCTAGGCCACTGAAAGTCATGGGGTGGCATGTGCCATTGGCATGCCTTGAGAGTGGGGGAAATAAAGTACAAGAATAAATGTTGCACTGCTGGTAGACCCTTCACTAACAGTGTGGTCAGGGGACATGGAGAGGTCATGGGTGACTGGGGGTGTGTGGAAGGTGAAGGTGACGACGAAGGGGTTTAGAGAACTGTGGTGGGTTGACCTTGGCTAGCCACCAGGTGCCCACCAAACCACTCTACTGCTCCCCCTCTTCAACAGGACAGGGGAGAAAATATGACGAAAATGTCATGGGTCATGGTAAGGACAGGGAGATCACTCACCAATTACTGTCACAGGCAAAAAAGACTCGACTTGGGGAAATTAATTTATTGCTAATTATACAGAGTAGGATAATGAGAAATAAGAACAAGCCTCAAACACCTTCCCCCACCCCTCCCTTCTTCCCAGGCTCGACTTCACTCCCGACTCTTCTACCTCTTCCCCCCGAGCTGTGCAGAGGGCCAGGGAATGTGGGTTGGGGTCAGCTCATAACACTTCGTCTCTGCCACTCATTCCTCCTCACGCTGTTCCCCTGCTCCAGCATGGGCTCCCTCCCATGGGAGACAGTCCTGCATTAACTCCTCCAATGTGGGTCCTTCCCACAGGCTGCAGTTCTTCAAGAACTGCTCTGGCACGGGTCCTTTACATGGGGTGCGGTCCTTCAGGAACAGACTGCTCCAATGTGGGTCCTCCATGGGCCACAGGTCCTGCCAGAAGACCCGCTCCTGCATGGACATCTCTCCACAGGCCGCAGCCCTTGCCAGGGGCTTGCTCTGGTGTGGGATCTTCATGGGCTGCAGCGCCCTTCAGGGCATCTCCACCTGCTGTGGTGTGGGGTCCTCCACCCATTGCAGGTGGATATCTGCTCCATCATGGTCCTCCATGGGCTACAGGGCAACAACCTGCATCACCATGGTCTTCAGCATGGGCTGCAAGGGAATCTCTGCTCCGGCAACCTGGAGCACCTCCTTCTTTGTCCTCTCACATATTCTCACTCCTCCCTCCCAGCTGCCATTGCACAGCAGTTTTTACCCCTTCTAAATATGTTATCACAGAGGTGCTACCACCATAACTGATTTGCTCAGCTTTGGCCAGCGGCAGGTCCATCTTGAAGCCAGCTGCAACTGTCTCTGGCCGACTCAGGGGCAGCTTCTGGTGTCTTCTCACAGAAGCCACCCCTGCAGCCCTGCCGCTACCAAAACATTGCCACATAAACCCAATACAAGGATGATGAAGGGGAGCACGGGGGACTTAAGAGGGTGCGAGGCAGGTGAAGTAGCAAGAGCAGCTTGAAGTTTCAACAGGCTGGAGTCATTGCCATAGGCCCAGAGGCAATCAGCAAAGTCAAAGTTTGATTGTGTTGGTATGTTGAGGTGACACGTCATGATAGGGATCATGGGTCCAGGGGTTGCCAAGCTGCCATGGCATCATCTCCAAGTGTTGGGTGGTTCCTGCCATGAGGTCAAAGGGCAGTTTCTGGGGAGACCAGATCATCTAATTGGGCCAAGACTACACAACTAGGATGCCATTGCTCAGTGCTGAAGGCTCACTGTCAGGTGCCCTGGCCCTTGACCAATTGTAGGAGGTGGAGGCCTGTGTGCCTTCAAGGCTGGGAAGACTGAGCACATGGCTCCTGTCTCTCTTGTCTGTGGTTCTCCCCTGTGGTGAGCATGGGGTGCAAGGAGGAGCTGAGGCTGGACGTGACATCAGTGAGTAGCGTGTCTTTGAGCTTCTGGGGACCATAAAAATGAGGGGTGGCTCCAACCAGGAAGATGCAGTGCTGCCACTCAGCAGGGCCCTCTGCCCTGGTGGCACCAGGACTCTATAAGCAGGACAGGCATCAAGGTGATGGCTTCCCATGGAGGCTGGTGTGGGAGGACAGAAGCTGGGGTCCTCTACAGTGTCCACCACAGGATTCCTCTGTGGGGGCCTGTGCCCTCGGCTCTGGGTTCTCCTGCCAGCTGGGTGGGAACCTTGAGGTTAGAGCAGGAAGAGGGTGCTTTGACCCTGCATGCCTTTGTCCTCCCATGGGTAAGAGGAAAGTGGAGGGTTGAAGAAGTTCTGAACACCTGGGTCCTCCTCTAGCGTGCAAGGAGGTGGGTCCTTATAGCCTGGATGTTTGGTTGCTTCTGCAGCTTGTGGATCAAGTGTCCAGTGGAAACAGAAGCGCAGGGTGCCTGCAAACCTGGACACTTGTGTTTGTCAGTGTCCTGGTTTTGGCTGGGATAGAGTTAATTTTCTTCCTAGCAGCAGGCACAGTGCTGTGTTTTGGATTTAGTAGGAGAAGAATGCTGATAACACACTGATGTTTTTAGTTGTTGCTCAGTGCTGCTTATGCCAGACAAGGACTTTTTCAGCTTCCCATGCTCTGCCAGGCACACAAGAAACTGGGAGGGGGCACAGCCAGAAGAGTTGATCCAAACTGCCCCAAGGGCTATTCCATACCATATGACGTCATGCTCAGTATATAAACTGGGGGGGGGG